GTCAATTTTCTCGGGAATCTTGGATTTTCTTTCCGCTACATTCTCCTAATGTTCGTTTCTCGCCTCTCTCGTTAAGATGATTTTCCTCTGTTTTTCTTCCATTTTCTTGCTCTGTTTTCTCTCGTTTCATTTCTTCCTCTGTTTTCTTTCGTTAGTTTGTGAAACGAGAACTAGTTACGGTGCGATTTCCTGTTATCGATTTCTGGGTTTTCAGAATTGTAAATGTTAACAAATTCTCTCCTTCGATTGTTGCGTTCTTGAGTAAAGCTTCGAGATTAGTTCTGTTTTTCCAGCTATCGACTCCATCGGAATCTCCAGATTTTGATCGAAATGGGAAGATTGTTCGTGACGAACCTCGAGGGACCGGCTTACCAATGCAAACACTGCAGAAAAGTTGAAATCGCTTCCTACGTAGATCCAAACGAAAGGGTTTGATTTCCGTTTCTTGCTCAAACTCTGTTTTTATACGATTTGCTATATATCTGGAATCAAGATTTTGGATTTAGGGAGTGATAGTGGTTTGGATCTTTATAACGATTTGTCATCATGTGCTCTTAGAAATCGAAACAAGATTGGAGAATTTGACATTTTTATCTGTTCAAACTTACATTCTTGAAGTTGACATGAGTTTTTCTTCTTGTGTTCATGGGTGTGTTATGCAGAGATTGCCGCCATTTGAATATCATGCCAGCCTTGGAAAACTGTATTGCTTCTCCAAATGGTAAAAGCAAATTCATGTGTTTTTCTAGTAAAAATTTCAACTTTTCTTTTACTAAAGACCCTTTTAAATTTTTTGGTGGCAGCTTCAATGTGGTGATTTCAACTGATGAAACAACTATGACTATAAATGGAGCAACTTACAAGTCAATGCGTGAGGTGTTCTGCATCGCTTGTGGCTCTCGTCTCGGCTTGTACTATGTATGTGTATATACACAAGACTCAAAAAAAACTCTCACTTAGAGATTTGTTGTTTGTTTCTCATTATGGTTTTTCATTGACACAGGAAAGTGCAGTGTCAGTGATGTACAATGAAGGAAATTTCTACATCAATAGGTGATGATAA